TCACTCCTAAAGCTCTTTGATAATGACCCAGCCCATACATAAATTCAGCAATCGACTAAATTTTCAATAGTGACCAAAAATATCTATTACTACCGTCCCAATGTGTTCATCTAGATAAAACTGATAAATAGCAGATTTTTAACGATGGGCCCAATCTTAGATCTTAGATAAGGCCAACATTAGAGCCATTTCCCCTACCACATGACCATGTTAATAGGTTCTTTTAAGTCTTTTCATGCACCACCAGTGTACAGTGCGCTAGCCGATTTTGAGAGGAAATGTCATCCAATCCATTTGTTTAAAGCCCGATTCAGAGTAAATTTGGACGCATTCAAGTGATCATAACTCAAGAGTTAAACAATATACACGGTTGATCAAAACGTCAATCAAAAGGTTCAGCTTTCAAACGATATATAACAAGTTATTAGATTTCACCGTTTCGAACGAACTGTCACACTTTACTTGTGATCGATGCCATCATGATCTGCACAGTCGCTGGTGACACTGTAGCGGCGAACTTATTCCACTTTAAACGCATTTGTCACTTCTTTACCGCATCCTCGAAGTTTTCGCTTGACAATTGCCCAATATTTTTCGATCGGTCTGAACTCAGGGCAATTCGGAGGATTAATCTCTTTGGCGACGAAATTAACATTGTTCGCAGCATACCATTCTAGTACCTCCTTAGAGTAGTGGCAGCTGGCTAGATCCGGCCAAAACATAACGTTGGTCTTGTGTTGCCAAATGAAGGGTAAAGTCCACTTTTTCAGACACTCTTTAATGTAAACCTTCGCCTTTATTGTGTGAGATGTGATGAAAACCTTGCCAAATCATTAGATTCCTTGCCAAATCATTAGTTTCCGAGCAAACTTATCAGCAAACACAAATTTACACCTGGAAGGGACATCATCACGACCAGTTGCCAGGTAAAATTTTCGTTCGGGGATTTGTTTATTATCCAGTTTGACATATGTTTCGTCATCCATTAAAATACAGCCATCAAATTTCGTCAAAACTCGTTCGTATAGTAATCGTGCTCCTTTTTGGCCACTAAATTTTGTTTCAGGGAGCGATTCGGATGTTTAATGGCACAAAAAGACTTATATCCTTCTCTTGAAAGGATGTTGCGCACGGTGGAGAAGTTGGAATCGTATTTCTTTGCCAAATCACGTATGGAGATACCTGGGTTGCTTTTCACGTACCTTAACACCTTTCTCCTCAGCACTTTGTCCCTAGTGCCACTTTTATGATAGAAGCGATGTGGACTATCCACACTCAGTGTATCCTTGTAACGTTTGATTACAAGACTCACCGTTGACTTTGGGAATATTAACACTTTTGCTATTTTTTAAGGCAGACCCCGAAGGGTTCTCTAGATGTTTGTGCACAATTAATTTTCTTATTCGGGATGCGTCGATCAATCGAGAAAAACTTTTCACCAATTTCTTCGTTCCAACCACCAGTGGAATAATACACGCGGTGCGGTGGTGTATTAAACCGTGCGTCCAGATTGACTTTGAATCGAGCTGTACATCATAACGACGATTTTCAAAATTCAAAATAATGTATATTTTATTGCACAACTTGCAAAATTCGATTGGGAGTGGTCTTATTTTTCTATTATCTACAGATCTGAACTAATTTACAGCTGAAATAACCATACATTAAAAATCCGGAAGATCAATTTTATAAATCTTAATTTTTCTCATCAAAAATATATGGAAGCACCAGCCGGAGCACTACGAACCCGAACAGAAAACAAAATATTCCACGCGGATGATGATTTCAAGCACCTACCGTGGATAAATTAATCAGGAAAGGTGAAAATGTTTCCTCTTCCTATAGAGTTCTCCAGATGCACAAAAGTGTGCGTGAGACCGTGCGCTACCTTTTTAAGTAGTTGTGATATCGCGATACCTTTTTGGTTCTTCTTCTTCTTCATTTTTATATATGAACGTTGGACTTAAGTGTTCGTGAGATTGCGCTTGGAGATCTCTATAGGCCTTTTCAAAAGAAACTAAACGATCGATTCAGCCTCTGGTGTTGAATATGAGAACGTCAAAAAGAGTGTTGTGAGCAGAAATGTTTGCCTTGAGACACAGGAAGTGGAACACTTTTTTTTACTTTTCCTGATAAATTGATTCATCTGAGATGCTTCAAAACTTAATCTACAGTTGAAAAATTTAATTCTGTAACGTTTTTGCAAAGATCCTGCTGGTGTTCAAAAATGTGTTTGATGGGAAAAATGGAAAATTGGAAAAATGCCCTAGTGGTTATGATCTTCCGGACTTCTTGTGTGTACATAGTTTAGGTGCAAATTAGTTCAGATCAGTGGAAAATCATACAATAAGACAATTACCGATGGAAATTGGCAAGATGTTGAACGAAAAATACTTTAATTTGCGTTGTGAAAAATAGTTATTCTGATGTAAACAAACGGTCTGGTTGACGTTTCTTCTTGAACTCGCGTGGCGCACTCTACGTTGATGGTGCATTAAAAAGACCTATTGGCAAATCAAAGTTGGCACTCGTGGAAAATAGAAGAACTATGAGAGTGATGATGGTTTCAAAATTTTCCACGGGGAGGTATACGAGTGCAATCTTTAAATGCTTTTATTTTGAAAATTGAGCATTTTATTCAAATCTGGTTGCCGCTACAGTTGTAGAAAAGCTGAAATCTATGTCTACACATAAAAATCTGAAAAGAATTTTTTTTTTTTTTCTATATTATATGTCTATTAAGTAGTCCTTAAGTTTTGTACTAGCGTAGCATGAACAATATTTAAATAATATGCTCCATTTTCAAAATAAAAGCATTTGAAGATTGCACTTGTATACCTCACCGTGTAAAATTTTGAAACCATCATCACAGAGAACAGACGTTGAGGCTCGAACAAAATTTCTCTAAAAACTAGTGTAAAGATTCCTATTTGACTTAAGCGCCACTAACGACCACTTCCCACTTAAAAAACCTGATGGCGCACAACTTACACTAGACACTCAGCGCCGGTAGCACCGAGTGGTAATTTTCAACAGAAAATTTATCGATACTAGCGGCAAATTGTTCGAAAGTGGAAAAAATATAGAGGAAATCAGGAGATGCTAGTGACACGTAACGGCGACGTTCCCACTTATCTTTACACAAGTTTCTGGTGGAAGTTGGACGTCTGTTCTCTGTTCCATCATCACTCTCATAGTTCTTCTATTCTCCGCGAGTGCCAACCTTGATTTGCCAATGCTTCACGGTGAACATTTCCGCCATCATCACTATTTTGAGAGTTCCCCTATTCACCAGCTAGAGACTGAAACAATCGCTCAGTTTCTATTGGATTTGTCTATAGGCCTTTTTAATAAAAACTAAGCGATCGATTCAACCTCTGGTGTTGAATATGAGAACGTCAAAAAGAGTGTTGTGAGCAGAAATTTTTGCCGTGAGACATAGGAAGTGGAACACTTTTTCACTTTTCCTGATAAATTGTTTCATTTGAGATGCTTCAAAACTTAATCTACAGTTGAAAAATTTAATTCTGTATCGTTTTTGCAAAAATCCTGCTGGTGTTGAGGAATATTTTTGTTGAGAAAAATTGAAAATTAGAAAAGTGCCTTAGTGGTTATCATCTTCCGGATTTCTTGTGTGTGAATAGTTAAGGTACAAATCAGTTCATATCAGTGGAAAATCGTACGATAAGACAATAGCTGATGGAAATTGGCAAGATTTTGAATGAAAAATGCTTTAATTTGCGTTGTGAAAAATAGTTATTCTGATGTAAACAAACGGTTTGGTTGACGTTTCTTCTCGAACTCGCGTGGCACACTCTACGTTGGTGGTGCATTGAAAAGGCCTATTGGACCAGAAACACTTTGAATTTAGCAATAAATTCCTACAATGAGTTTTCGCATATTTTTTGATTGATAAATGAGTTTACTAAAGAGTTCAAATAAGAGCTTGTATTCAAGACATATTGTCCAGGATTGGCACCTCAAAAACAGAACTCTCAGCTTCCTTCCGAATTTCAACCTATCGAACATTTTCACTGATAACGAGTTGAGAAATCAATTTTATATTTACTATACATTTGTTGTGACATCAAAACTACCTTTCGTAATCCTACGTCAAATCTACGGTCGTGTCTTGGCTATAATCTCTTACTTTTTAAAATATAGTCACTAAAAACACGTTTTAGGTCATTCGTGAGTTATCCGGGATGATATTTGAACTCGTGACCTTTAGCGTGATAGACATGGATGCAAACTACTACGCCGAATCTAAAGAATACCCCTGAAGAATTCACCCATTGCTCAATGTTGTCGGTACCCGAAATTAATATTGGGCAAACTACGCTGAACAACTTTGTTCACGACCGAATCGATTCGAATTCTGAGCAAAATGTTATTTACCGCGAGCTTACTGATTTCTTGAAAGGCACAACATTTTAATCGATTTACTGTCTTCGACTGAATATTAGGTAATACGTAATACAGTCAAAGTATAAATTTTGGAAATGTGCTTTATATAACAGACCATTTTGCACTGCAAAATGTCACACAAAAGCGTACACATTGAAACATTAATCACCCCATTTCCTGTAGTCGATAAATCAAATTTCCACACCGCGATAAAATTAGCAGATAATGTACAAACAGTAAAACGCAGGCATCGAACACATGTTATCGCACGATTTCCAAATGATAAATACATTGATATCGGACGCGACGGACGTTACACGCCTTGCTTAATCCGTTTCAATGAGTCGGCTGTCATGTTTAAACTTATCGCTCTTCTCCGCTGCGCAGTGATTGATATTTATTAGGAAATGGAAAGAGGTCTAGCTAATCGATCGCCACCAGCTCGGCGGCGATAAGAGAAGCTCTGATTGCAAACGTTGAGTGAGTAGATGCCGATTACAATAAGTTACTAGCGATAGAATTTATTACACTTACTTAATATTATACAGGTTGACTATTATTGAATTCCCAAAAGGCTTTTGTTGTTGTATGGGTTTATCATTGATCTACGCTGTCATAGTGCTCGCTAGACAAATTAAAGGGTGCTGAGTATGAGCATTCTGGTGATTGGTTTTCGACGACTATAATAATAACGATCACACGGTTAGAGGGAGATTGGCACATTGGTGTAATTTCATCTCGGTTAATCACGTCAACACAATTTAGAACAACCTTAGCGCAATTAATACAGCTGCCAGGAGTGTTACTATCGAAGCGGTTATTCCGCTGGCACTGTTGCACTCGGACCAATCGCACAAGCGACACTCGTTGGGCTGCTGTCCTGCGTTTATGGTCCGGCACGTTTCCATATGATCGTTTCCATGAGGGGTGCATCCTCGTCGGGTGACTCCATCTGTAAATGGAATATTATTAGTAAGTAGGATCTTATTTGACACAAAGATGATTGTTTCGTACTGTGAGTCATAACGAAGCATCGATGAGAGACTGGGTTTACGATTTGTCTCTTCCTGCGACCAATTGGAGGAGGGGTGAGGATTGGACCATCTTCCGGTCCCGGTTCTGGCACTACAGGTGGTAGCACAGGTGGTAGCACAGGTGGCGGCACAGTTGGCTGTTCAGTCCCTGGTCCTATTGGTGCTGGTGGTGTAAGATCCGGTCCCCCTGGCGTTGGTGGTGGTGGTATCGCAGTGGTTCCATCAATTGGAGGAGGTACTGGGGTAATAATTGACTGTGGGCAACTCTGTGCAGTCTGTCCAGTGCGATCAAACGGATCTCCACAATTGTCACAAATGAAACAGGTGAGCTGTGCACGACCTTCACAAATAACAGAAAAAAACATATATTAGATGCTGCAAGCCATTTTTTCACAATTCACTACAAGTCTTCCAGAAATACTACACACCTTCGATTGCTAGTCCCACTAGCAACAGTCCAATTAGTAGCTTCATTTTAACTTTTTTATAATCCTAGTCCAATCAACTCCCACTTTCCTATGATCGTTACTGCTGCTGAACTCTTCAGTGCACAAACTTCGAATGATTTGGGACTTGCCTGGAAATCATCCTTTATATCGACGACTATAATCTAAGCTTCGACCTCTAGATAACAGTCACAATCACACACACACAATCACCACTACCAAACCAAATTACGATAAATCAGTTTCGATATCTGCTACTGAAATTATCGTTGTGTAAGGACCAGAATTACTCATAATGAAGCGAAGCATACCAACAAGTCACAGGGTTTTAGGTTCAGTACATTCCTAACTGATTAAACAAAATCAGTACAAAACACATCGATCTACACTGTCTCTAGTGATAACGGGTCTGACTAGCCTATATCTAATCGAAGATGTATGATTATGGAAGGTGTGACTCATACCGCCGTGACGTCGGCCAAACAGGGATTTTGGAGGATTTAACCTACTTCTAGTCATATGTTGCATTGCTGAAGCAATACAAATGGAATAGATTTAGAAGGATTTCATCTGCAATAGCAACTATGCTAATTTAAAAAGTTAGATTCTGATATATATATTCAATACTGTATTGAAATTATATGACATTCTTATGATCTTTTGTAATTTTTTTGAAAGAGGCAGATTGGAAATATCATGTATATATCTAATTCATAGAGATATGCAATCCGATCGGGAAAAAGTCTAAAGGCGTAAAAGAACAACCTCATGTTAAACGTGTATCGTTCATAACTCACGCTTATGGAATTCATAAGTGTCGTACATAAGTCGTGCCTTATGAAATACTTAGGTTTACTGGCCTCAATGTATGGAGAGCGAATGATCCACGGCTCATTTTTTATTCGAACCGGATGATCATAACCTCATTAAAATATTAGGATATGTAAAATAATGAAAACAAAAAACACAAATTTTACAATATATTTCAATTGTAGTTGATTGTTTCAGATTCATGAAATATGATTTAAAAATTCACGAAGTCAAAACTTAGTTATTCGGTGTTTGCATCAAATTACCGAAAATTACTGATCCATTAGGGGTTGTACAGACTCCTCAGATCGTGGTGGCCGTCTTTGTCCAAATTTGTTGGAAGTATTTGATATCTTTGATTCTTTGTTTCTTTCCAGAAAGCTAACTCTTATTTTATTTATGTTTACGCAGATAGATTTATTTGGGTTTGCAAGGGAATTATACCATTGAAATATTTCAGAAAGTGCTCAACAGTGCTCTTTCTATTTGTGTGACAAGCTTTCATTGAAGCATTACTCAGTTAACAATGTTAAACACCATGTTTGTACATGGTATTGTAACTAATCTTTTAGGAGAAATGGATGTAATGTCAGCCTAAATGTTCCTAATTTGGGCCCATACATAAATTCAGAAACCGACTTAAATTTCAATAGCGACCAAAAATATCCATAAGTACCGTCCTAATGATGCGTTCATCTAGATAAAATTGGGCCCAATCTTAGATCCATAGGCCAACATTAGAGCCATTTCCCGTATGTGCTTCATTTTGATTTGGGATAAATGATTGAACTATGGCTCGGGATTTCCACTGTGGTTTGCTTCTATTGTGACACACCCATACATATTTTTGTTGTGCGACATAGTGGAAGCGTGTGAGCATAATTGGAGCATATAACATATATTCGATAAAAATCAGCTAGGAAACTAGCTTCAAAGTGAAGCATTTTAGTCACTTGAAGGTGTCACCTGGGTCGAACTAAGATATTATAAATACAGGTCAAAGTCAAAAGTACATGAAACACGTTTAGTTTGAGATTACAAGCACAAGTGCAGGTACTCAATAAAGCATGGGCTATGATTGATTAGGTGAATTAGAGATTTCAATTATTTATTAAATTAGACTAATGAGATATGATCATCATCAAATGAACTTTAATAAGAAAATTCAGAATGTCTAATAATATTAAATATTGCTGAGATTTGTCGTTGTTATTGACAGAATTTCGCGCGATATTGAAAAAAATGTTTTTCACATAGTCAATGACAGACTTGATCCTCAAAAAAACCTTCCTCAAAATATCATTCATTTGGTCGTCAATAACTAAGATTACCCTTACCAACTTAATTTATCTTTTCATGTTTATTTTACACAGTTTATGGGTTAACCACATAAAGGGCGAACACGAAATTATTGCGACACCGAAAATGTCATGCCAATTTTCTTATAATGTTTAGAATCAAACCAAAATTTTAGGGTAGTTTTATACATATATTTACTTCAAAAATCAAAAGAAAAGTTAATCGATGGAGCCTTGAGTGTAAAATTGAACGCATTTTCGCTTGATGCCCTCCATCAAAGTCTTTACAGTGTCATCCGGTACCAGTTTCTCAGTTTTTTCCATTTTCTTAACATGTCCTTCTCGTCTTTGACTGTCTTCTTCCTCTTCCGAAGTTCCTGCTTCATTATTGCCCAGTACTGCTCCACCGGGCGCAGCTCCGGACAGTTTGGCGGATTCATGTCCTTTGGAGCAAAATGGACAGAATTGGCCTCATACCACTCCAGGACACTTTTAGAATAGTGGCATGATGCCAAATGAAATATTTGGAGGCGAACTTCGACATTTTCTTCTTCTTAAATTTGTCGTCCACATCGAACTTGCTCTGGCCGGTGAAAAACTCCAACCCCGGAATTTGCTTAAAATCGGCTTTTATATACGTTTCGTCGTCCATCACACAGCAGCCATATTTTGTCAGCATCTTCTCGGAGAGCTTCCGTGCCCGAGTTTTAGCCGTCGATTGTTGCCGCTCATCGTGGTTTGGGAAGTTCTGTACCTTGCATGTATGTAGTCCAGCTCTCTTCTTTGCATTCTGGACGTAGCTCTGCGACATGCCGATCTTTTTAGCCAAATCACGGCTTGAGACGTTGGGATTTGCTTTAATCATCCGCTTCACCTTTCCCTCCGTCTTTTTGTTCTCCGGTCCCGGTTTTCTTCCAGCTACTTTGCCGTGGTCCAACGTCAACCGCTTCAACACTCTGGAGACGGTTGAATGGTGAATGTTCAACATTTTTCCCAACTGCCGGTGCGACAGGTCAGGAAATTCCAGGTGTTGGAAAGAATTTGTTCTCTCAACTCGTGTTGGTTCACCTCCATTTTCGTTGAATCGAAAAACACGACTTCGAGTTTGACAGCATGTACACAATACACATCAATGAGAAAGTGTGCAAAATTTGGTTGATTTTTACCCAATGGTAAAAAAGTTATGCCCTGTTGAATGTGTCGCAATAATTTCGTGTTCGCCCTTTATTTAACTTGTCAAAATACATTTCTGCAAGTGACAATCATATTTAAAAAAAAACTCTCAATTTCCGCACAGTTGGTGAAGAAATCAAAACTAAACATTTTTCTTTGAAATTCAACTCCACAAAAAGTAAAAATAAAACGAAAAACAAATTGATATTACTTGGACAGGAAAACAAACGAAATGATATAATGTTTTGCCATAGTAGGAAATAAGGCGAGCCATGTATCGCCTTAACTGTATCTCCTTGATACAGACGATGTTCTTCAAACCGATCTGAAAAGAATATTCAGTTCAATAAAAAGGTTACAAAATTTATTATATAAATATATTATCTTCAACAAACGAAACTTTTTTTCCGGTTCCAATGGAATCTACGCTGATGGCTCATTTGATTAATCCGTTTGTCCTCCGACACGTCCATGAGGGTTGTTGGAACTTCGACCAGTTACCGTTCGACGACGGAATCCATCAGGCCACAGTTTTGATGATTTGCTCGAGAATTCAGGCATAACATTTGAAAACGGCCGATAATCTTCTGTAAACAAGCTTTTTTAGGCCATAGCAAAACAACAACACCACCGGGTAGGGAAAATTCTGCCTTTGTCGATGATGTTGTTTGTTTACGTGCTTCGGTCTAGCGAGTAAAAATATTTATTTCAAAAAATTATAGGCCGTTTCCAAATGTTACGTAAGAATTGAAACAGGAGATACTAGCTCCTGACTTAAAACCTTGTTTGAACAAAAAAGAAGAATACAAACTTACCATTCGAATCGGTTATTCCTGGTTGCACAGGTGGAACTGAGGAACGCTTCACGCAAGCGGGTGCAGGTTCAGCATCAGATGTCTTTTCAATATCTACTTCTAGAGATCCAGACTGGATCACCCAGGTTGAAAAGAGTTGCACCGATGCCGACTGATGAACTTGGATCAGGAGTGGGAATTGGTTCAGAATCAACTGCAAATTAATTAGATTTAGCAAATAAAACGATTTCGTGAACATATATTTTACCAGATCCTTCCATCGACAGTGCACCCTGCTGACGTTTGACAGTCCTGGAAGTTGAATGCGCAATTGCTTTGCAGGCGTATGTTTTGGTACAGCCCTTCGGTGGAACGTTTTTTTTAAATGTGGTGTTGTTGTTCTCGCTGTCGTCATCGGAATCTGAATCCCAGGCTTGGAGGAGGTTCATTTTGAGGCTCTTTATACCCCGTTCACATTACAGTCTATATCACGTAATATAGGCTGTCTTGCAATGAGCACTCATACATAGGATTTCCAGTGAAAACTAGATGCTGGTTGTCGTCTGGATCCATGTTAATAAGCGAAACGGGAGAGACGGACATCCTCACGGTTGAGGTTGGCGCCTTCATCGAGATTTTACTGGGTTTTTTTTTTTCAGTTTCGGTTGCCGATTTTGTGCTAGATTTGCTTGGATGTGATCTTCATGTTCCACGAAAAAAAAATCTCTAAAAAAATCGTAGGGTAATAACACATTTTAGGTTAATTTTGAAGAATAAAAGCTACCTGTCGTGGCCCACCCAGCAGAAACTCCAAGTTTTTGGAGTTGGCCTCATTCTTAAAGTTTTTCACTGTTTGTCATTTCGAAGACTTTCCCATTTCGTTGATATAATTTCACAAAAACTAGTGCTAAAAAATCAGCGCGCACAACAATTCAACCTAGCGACGCCGGTGGTGTAGTGGTAAGCGTGATTACCTCTCACCCCAGCAGGCCTGGATTCAATCCCAGTCGGCGCCGCCGGAATGTTCTGAGGCATAATAT